ACCTAAGCAGGGGTTGACGGCGGTGCTATCGACGTTGAGGGTGACGATGATACATGAGGATCGAAACATACAAAATTATCTTTTTGTTATTTTCTCCAATTTTTTTGAATTTTCTCCTTTTTTCTCTTTTCTCTTTCATTTTGCTTTCCTTCTTTCTCTCATTTTTATTCTCTCATTCATCATTTTTTTCATAATAATAAAAATTATTATTATTATTATTATAATAAAACAATGATAATATTATTATTAATACTAACAATCAATAATAATGGTTAATAATATTAATTAGAAGTAATAATAATAATAATAATAATAATAATAAATATTATAATTATTATTATTACCTCCGTGATGACTTGTTGTGGGAGATCAAATGGAAGGGAGGATGAATTGCTATGTGAGGAGCTCGACACAATGAGGGGGTTTTGAGCTAGGTAGATTGGCACAGGGGGACTGGGATGGAAGAGGTAGGATTGGAGTTTGATTCGGCTTCAAGGTCGGCCTGCTGGATTTGAAGAGGAATGAAACAGGTCGGAGTGTTGACGTTAGTTGGGAGCTGGACATAGTGAAGGTGGCGGGTTGATTGGCCGAGATCTACTGTAGGAGGTGTGGTTCATGAGGGCCGTAGGGTTTTATAGTGGAGAAAGGTTGATGGATTAAGGTGTTCGAAAGGTTTGGGACTTGTGTGAAGTTCAGCTGCGTTTGATGGAACCCGATCGCAAGAGGGAGGTCGGTCGCAAGCTCTGGGCAAGGGACTTGCATGGGTTGGACGGGCTTTGAGGAAGAAGCCAACCGGGTGATGGAAAGAGAAGGATGGTTAGGGCTTTGCGTGAGGCACGATTGAGGTTCTAGAGTCGAGCTCGGTACGGGTTACTTCGGGTGTGACGTGATGAAAGATGTGAGAAGCAAGTTTTTCTGCGTGTGGGAGAAGAAGAACAGAAGCTTTGTTCTCATTTTAAAAGTAGGGGCAAGTTGCGATCGTGGCAAGATCACTCACATGGGAGGATGGGCAATTGATTTCGGCGCCGTTTGCAGAGATTCGAGCATGATTTGAGCAAGGATTCGGGATGGGCTGCCGATTTCAGTAGAGGTATTTCATTTATTGTTATTATTATTATTATAAGCAAATGTCAACAACGTCGAACTTAGAATCAACTTTCGGTGCTATCTCGAATTTAGTGCATTTCTTGGGTGTTAGTTCAATGGTAGCCATTGGCTCTGCATATACTCAAAATATTGTCGATCCAAATCAACCAAAAATTTTCACTCCTAATGATCTACCTGTTGTTCAGCTTGATTCTATCTATTTTTAGCATTTCTGGCATCAAGATCTAGTGAACAAAAATTCAAATTCTATATGCCAAAAAGACAAGAAATTTTTCTCGTCTAGCAATTTTTAGAAGATATTTTGTGTTGTCCTCTTTTTAATGATTGATAGTAAATTGTTTTGCTTAAAAAAAATAAATATTTGAATTATGACACTGGAAACTAGAAATCATCCATCTTCCTTTTGATTGTCTGTCCATAACTAGGATCATAATGATCAGGTTCCAGTACCATTATGAATGAAGCTTCATAAGGAAGCCTAATTTTCACTGAAAAAAGACAACAATGAGTTCTATTATGTGATACTTTACCTAAATTATCATTATTTTGGTAAAAATTGTGAAGATTTTAGGATGGAATATAATATGGCCCCATATAACTGGCAGTCTATAAAATTGCCTAATTATGGTTAGATGAGAGTACTCCACTTCTTATTTCTATACGTGACATCATAGCTTTCAACAGATTGAGGATGGAAGAACTATCTGCCTATATGGAAGTAATAACCTTGAATGGGTTCGCCAACTCGCCCACAAGATGAAAGAAGTCCAAAAATCTGGAATTCTGTTAGAGCTACTCTATGTTGGAACCAACAATGTTGATCATAGAGAAAATATCTTAACGGCCATTGCTGAAGAAAAGCTAAGCAAATATTTGTCTCATACAGATATTTCCATCTTCTGGTTGCGGTTGGAGAGCATTAAGAAGTTAAAAACTCGTCTTGGATCTGGAACTGAACCAGGCTTCATTATGAGGGAAATTAATTCTTTGTTGAGCTTCGATACAGATAAAGGAGGATGGCTACTCATAAGTGAAGGATCATCAACAGAACCGTTGAAACTTACTGGGAACAAAGCCCTACAATGCCTTTCACTTTTTCAGGTGTGGGGGCAGAAGGTGAATAAATTGGGCTTCTTGGGTGCTCTTAGAAAATTTCTTGATCCTCCTTCACTTATCGACCAATGCAATTACTATAGTGTTACTCCTTTTATTGATGATATGAACAACAAAGTTGTTTCTTGCCCAAACTGTCTGAGCACTATGGAGAAGTATTATGTCTATCAATGTATGACAAGTTGAGTGACTTTGAAGATCTGTGAAGGCTTACTAACTTCTATTAGGCCAATTGAAATGTTCATGAGCAGGAAGGTGTGGATGTTTTATATAGATTCTCAATTACCATTTGGACAATAATAAACTTCTTTTTAATATCAATCTGGTTTGGTGCTGGTTATTGTGTATTCAAATTTTCTTCTAGTCACTTGAAGTGTGAGACTCTTAAACTGTAAGTTTAGGTTTCTGAATCTTCTAAGATTATGTGGGATTAGAACTTAGAACCTCAGCTGGATCTGTGCCGGCATAGTATATTGTTCTTCCAGTACTGTCCATCTTCTTTAGCTGTTACTGGTTTTCTGTCTTTGATAACTCTGAATTAATTGTTAGAATGTAGGCCATTCTTGGGCCACATGGCAAAGTAAGCTTTTATGTTTACTTTGCCACCAGAAATAACTCTTTGATCATGTATTTATAGGATTTTGAAGATAAGGGACATTTATGATTTTTATAAAAAATAATACGATATTCTCAAAGTAGTCCCTAGACTATTAGTGTATGGTTTATTTAGTTCTAGATTATCACGTTACTCTAATTTAGTTCTTCAATTATACAAAATTGATTCAAAATAGTCCTTTATGTTGTAATTGTTATATAAAATTGATCCAAAATAGTCCATGTTATGTTGTAAAAATAAATATCAAGGAATATTGTTGATATATATATATATATATCAACAAACAATCTTGCACGTGCTTAATCGTAATCAGTCATTATATATAATCTTAAAGTTTTTCATAAGTTTGGGATCGACATAGATGATATAATGAGATCGTGCTTAATCGTAATCAATATTTGGTTTTTATGATATAAATATTTGATATCAAGATTAAACATTAATACAAAAAATAACAATTATCATTATAAAAATAATAAATCAAAACCCAAAATTAAATTTTTTTAAAAGCAGCCAACTTTATTATTGTTGCTTGTTAATTTTGCTGTTAGTGTGATTCAAGAAGAGCTTATGGTGGGTAATCATCCATTATTGATTTTTTTTTTCTTAGAAAAATAATTATCATCCTAGAATTTTTTTTCTTTAAAAAAATAAATATTTTAACTATTTTCTCACCTTCAAAAATTACAATTGCTCAATTTTTAAGAAAATTTTACTTTCTATTTAATATATAAAATTATATATTTCACAAACTTAAACTCTATCAAATTCTATCATCAATTTAAAATTGTATCATCATATTTTATAATAACTTTATGTCAGCATTTTCAGTCATTTATTTCACATAAAACCCATTCTTTAAAGTGATCTCACATATAAGTCTAATAAGTAGAAAAAATTTGTAATTTACATATCAAAAGCCTAATCTAACAAACATTATATCCAAAATTAACACTGATGAAGGCAGTATAATAGAGAACATGGTCACATTACAAGAATAAAGAAAAAAATTAAGGCACATATAACCAAATAACCTATCAATAAAAATCAACCCAGCTAATACTCGGTTCATCTGAAGGATCTGTCTTTAGAAAAAGCAGTAGGAATCGAACAAATTCATCGACATACAAGGCAGTAATGAATATCTCATCGTTATATGGTACTAACCAAACTCACAAGCAAAGAATTAGAGCCGGATGAATAGTAATAATCAAAGTCGTCCATCCATGGGGCAAATTATTATGTTCGGACACCGGACAGAGAGAATTATTTGGAGTTCTCTGTGTCTATAGTTAAAGCGCAGCTGCTACAGTACCTGTGCTTTGACTGCGCTTTTACTATAGATAGAGAGAAATCCGGATGATTCTCTCTGTTAGTTGTCCGAACCTAATAAGTCTCCCATCCATGGTGCTATGCTCCCTTGTTCTTCTCTAAGATTCTAGCTAGGCCATTTTAATTCTTTAAGGAATGTATAAGATGAACCCCACCACACTCAGCCAAGCCAGAAGCTCCATCGATAGGACAAGCCAAAGTGAAGTTCATAAAGCAGACCTCAGTATCAAGCAAGGTGGTGCAATCACTTTGGTCTTTATTCCTCTTGTTGCTTGCTCCCTGCCTATTAAAGCGTTAGCTCCCCCCACCTTCAACTAAGCACATCCTGTGAACCAACCGGATTGCACAGCCTTCCTTCAGGACATAGCATCCATGGCATTAACAGCAACAACGGCCGCCCAGAAGATGCACTCAATAAAGGGAGACCGCCACCTCTTCTCATCTTCTGATGATAGTATTGTTCTGAAACAGATGCATGAGACGCACAAACCTGAGGGTCGCGACATAGATGTGCGCCCCATACTGCGTGTGGTAGAGGATGTCTTCCGCAGGACCACACCTACCTTCGTTGTGGTACCATTTGACTAACTATGTCTTTCTTTGGAACGGCTTTCTTATTGCTTATTAAAGCAGTTTTTTAGTTAAAAAATTAAAATTTTTGTATTAGAGAGCTGCTTTAAGAAGCAGAAGCCTATATCTAGCTTTATATATGACAGTCAAACTATCTCTTGTTCAGCAATGAATTGAAAAGTTTCAAAATGCACATAATAAGTCATATTTCTGCTTCTGTTGTTGAATTTTAATGGTTTTGATTGGTGTTCTTCATCTGTAGACACAACTCATGTCCCAAACTCACCTGGAAGCGGATGTCCATGATGGTGCAAATCAGACTGGACTTATCTTAATGCTAGAAGCCATTGCTTTCACCGTTCACAGGATCTCCTGTGAGGTAAGTAGTAAAAATACTTTATGCAAATCATTGTTCCCCAACCAACCCTGTATACTTTTCTCCATTTTTTACTATCCATTTGGAACGATATTTTGTATTCCAACAAACTTCAATCAAAACCAAAAGAATGTTATTTCCTTGTTTACCAGTTAAAACTGCAAAAAATGTCGGAGATAAACTGACCACTGGATATACCACCAGTTTTTTTTAGGTGTCGACTATTAAATTTTTTCCGATGACTTAAACCGCCGGAAGCACGTCGGAAATTGACCTAAAATTTGCCGCCCAGCCCTTCCTCAAATCTATAGGTTTTCAGCGGCTAACCGACGGTTTAGCAGCCGGAAACTTCGATACCGGATGGCTAATTTAGCCGTAAGTTTTTAATATAGCCGAACCGACGACTTTGTCGCCGGATAGGCCGGCGTTTTCCACGGCAGGTACACTGCCAGTAATTAACCGGCAGTCGCCAGAAAACCGCCGGTAAGTTTAGCCACTGGAAAATGATCGTCGTAATTCCTTTCCTACGTGGTTGATTTCGACTGTTTTAAAAATGCCGGAAAACAGCTAGAAAATTTTCAAACCCTCAGAAAACTTATCTCAACTGAAGAAAATATTAACCATTTTCCTGAAGTGTAGTGATAGGATAAAGTGCTGAACAGCTTTTGTCATTAATTCTTTAGGTGACATACAAGTGCTCGAGTGGTGGAGAAGCCCATACAACAACTATGGCTGTGTTCCATGTTTTATCAACCTACACTTGGGACGCAAAGGCAGTAATGGCCTTGGCAGCGTTGGCGGTGAACTATGGAGAGTTTTGGCTGACAGTGCAGCTCCACACTGTGAACCCCTTGGCCAAATCTTTGGCCCTCCTGAAGCAAGTTCCTGACATCATTGAGCACACCAATGTCCTCAAGCCTAGATTTGATGCCATTAACAACCTCATAAGAGTCATGGTCGATGTCACCGAGTGCATCATTGAGTTTACTGAACTTCCTTCTGAGTATATCTCCCCAGAATCTCCTGAAATGGGAACGGCCATGACTCATATCCCAACTGCTGTCTACTGGGTCGTTCGAGGCGTCGTTGCGTGCATCTCCCAGACAATTGCGCTCGTTGGAATTGGCCATGAGTAAGCTCAACATGAACCTAATAATTGATAATGAGCGTTAGCTTATGTAGTCTTGCTCAAACCTCTCCAAATGAGAAAATTATTAGCTGCGGACACCGGACGTAGAGATACGTCCGGACATCCACTTAAAATTTGAGACATGGAATGTATTTTGGTTGCACTTTTTGTACGTTTTACCTGTCATTTACATGCGTTTTAATTGCACTATGACTACTCTTTTGTTGCGTTTTTTTACTACACTTTGACTGTGCTTTAGTTGCGCTTTGACTGCTCTTTTATTATGTTTTTTTACTGCGTTTTGACTGCGCTTTACCTGCCCTTTACCTGCGCTTTGGCTATGCTTTTGTTACGTTTGACTTAAAGTTCCACGGACACAGTAAATATATAAAGTAAAAAATAAATCCAATTGAATATCCACGTGTCCACTCCACGTGTCGATATTTTATAGGAGTCGGGACCTACCTCTACATCCGGTATCCGCATCTAATAATTTTCCCTCCAAATGTTAAGGTTAGGGGTTCAACTCCTATCTTGAGTGGTAAAAAAAATGAAAAAACAATAATTTTATTTGATGATATTTCCCTGATGATTATGGACTTTCTTTCAGGTACATCAGCTCAACAACAGAGGCATGGGAGCTCTCCACAATAGCTCACAAACTTGCCAACATTCATGGTCACCTCACCAAGCAACTTGAACTTTACCACAAACACATTGGTAAATTTTAAGCAACTCCAGAAATACTCAAGTAGTTACATCTGTTCATTCAATTCTGATTAAAATATAAATTAACTCAATCATGTAGAGGAAAAGATGCATCACGAAGCCTACCAAACACTGGTTCGGCTTTTCGAAACCATCCACATCGATAACATGAAGATCCTCAGGGCACTCTTCTACTCCAAGGATGATCTTCCCCTCTTAGATGGCTTCACAAAGAAGAGGGCCAGTCTTGACGTGTTGAGAAGGAAAATTGTGATGCTTTTCATCAGTGACCTCGACATTAGACATGAGGAGCTCTTTGTTCTCGTACAGATATATAATGACACACACCATGGAAAGGCTGAACGGCTATATGAAGTCGTCTGGTTGCCTGTGACTGACAGGGATCATCCCTGGACTGAAAACAGAGAAGCAGATTTCAATCGTTTAGTCTCAAATATGCCATGGTACACACTTCACCATCCCTCGCTTCTCCAGCCCCCAGTTATCAGGTACATAAGAGATGTTTGGCATTTTGACAAGAAGCCTATTCTGGTGGTCTTAGATCCCCAAGGAAAGGTTGTTTGCCCCAACGCTATTCACATGATCTGGATATGGGGAAGCCTGGCCTATCCCTTTACCAGCAGCAGGGAGGAGGCTCTGTGGAAGGAGGAGACATGGAAGCTCGAGCTCCTAGTCGATGAAATCGACCCTGCCATTCTGTCCTGGATAAGAGAAGGACAGCATATTTGCCTCTATGGCGGGGATGACATCGAATGGATTAGGAAATTCACCAAGCTTCTAAAGCAAGTGGCGCGTGAAGCCAAGGTTCCCTTAGAGATGGTGTATGTGGGAAAGAGCAATCCTAAGGGGGTTAAAAAGGCGACGGCACTCATCAAGGCTGAAAACCTGAGTAACTACTGGGAGGATCCCGCAATAATATGGTTCTTCTGGGTTCGGCTGGAGAGCATGTGGCACTCTAAGATGCAGCGTGGAAGAAGCATTGAGGATGACCCAATCATGGAGGAAGTAATGCAGATGCTCAGCTTCGACGGAAGTGATGAGGGTTGGGCAGTAATCAGCCATAGTTCCTATGATATCTTGAAGTCGCATGGAAAGACGCTCTACGACTGTTTATTGAACTTCGATAACTGGAAGGAGAATGTTGAGCTCGAGGGGTTCATACCGGCACTCGCCAAGGCCCTGCTTCCTTACCACACCCATGAGCATTGCACGCGCCTCATCCTTCCAGGTGATACACAGCAAATCAAGGAGAAAGTGATCTGTGCTCAGTGCAAGCGTCCCATGGAGAAATATGTGCTCTACCGCTGCTGCAAAGACTGAGCTAGAACACTAGCGTTTTCTGCCATTATGGCTTCATCCCGCACGACGAAACTGCTATTAGATACTATGGTGTGATTAACGTTTAAATTTTTAAAATTTGCTTGTCTTTTATGGAGTGAGACCGTTGTGTTCATGGTTTGTATTCTACGTACGTTCGCAATTGTTAAAGGTCAACGGAGAAAACTATACAGTCTTTCTGTACTTTGCCAATTTAAAGCTCTATGATATTTTGTATTGCATCAAAGCAAGTTATGAAATTGTTGGTTTTTATTTCATCATTGCAGGTATAGTAAGTTCAACTACTTAGAAATTGTTTAATATGACACCTGCATGAAATCAACCTCCTTCGCTGCTTGAGTTGAGGAGATAAGTGGAGGTTGGTTTCAAATTTTCTTCCAGTCAACTTTTGATCAATATCAACCGTTCGGCTATAACAATATTAGCACAAGATAAGTTTCCTTACAAGCTACATGATCAAGCATCAATAGATGTTTCTAATAAACCTTGAAGCCCTACACTAAATACAAAGCTGAAAAGTATAAGAGTGGAGGAAGTCACACTCATCGGGCGCCGTCCGGAGATGAATCAGGATGTGCCACATCATTTTTTTGATGTGTACCAGATGATGTGACACGTCCTGATTCACGTTCGGACCGTCTGGTGACCGCATGCAATAATCTCTCCATCAAAAGACGGTATTTGCACTAATCCACATTAACCCCATTTTTTTCCTAACACGACCGGCCCAGCCCAATTGCCTTTCCCAGCACCTCCGGTTGCTGCACTATTAGAGGGCCCAAGAAGAGAATATTCAATGAGAGGGGCAAATCAGCCTCTCTTTTGATGATGGATAAAGTGTTGAGATAGAGAACGAATAGTCAATCTCTTGAGTAGTGTCAGACAAAGGCAAAAACCTTATTTCTCTGACCCTATATTTAAGAACATGAAACTGCAATGAAAGCATAAGAAAATAAATATTTCTTATTATTCAATTCAAGTGATATAGGTTTCGTTTGGGACAACTTTTTTATTGTTTCTTAAAACAACTTCTTAGTATAAAAATTTAAATTTTTATACTAAGAACCTGTTTTAAGAATAGTAAGAAAGCCATCCCAATCGAAGCCATAGTGATATATATAAAGACTTTTAGTCAATTGCCTCCTCTCCTGTTGTCCTTAAAAATTTTAAAATACTATGATCTTTAGACAGTTGCCCCAACAAGTAGTAACGAGAATTCATCATTTTATTCATTAATTCGAATTCTAAAAATATGCTTACAATCAAAATTTATTTCGAAGGCGCTGTCTCCTTGGACCTCACAATAGTTAATTGTAAATTTGATCCCATGAAAATTAAAATTAATTCCGCCCCTTCATATAGGTAGGTCCAAACGACCAAGACTAATTAAACTAATCCAACATTTGTCCCCAAACTGAGCACCAAGATAGCACGCTTATGTCCAACATATATCACGATAAAATAAGAACAAAATGGCAAGATAGTCTATAGGGGGGTTGGTTGAAGATGAACAGATCATGAGAGATTTTTATTTTGTCAGGAGAATATCTAATGTGCCAGTGGGAATTCTTTAATGATGAGAGGACAATCAATCAGGTATTTAGTCAATTAATATCACTAAGCTGATTCGAATTGAAGCAGTATTTGCCTCTGACCCATCTGCCCAGACAGCTTTTATCCTAACAGATGATAATTAACTAAATTGTGGCTCATAATTAATTAATGCAATATATAATTGCATCAGTCATGGAAAGTTTAATGGGCAGGACTCAGGAGCATATCCACTAACCCCAATTTAATTGGGGATACATAATTTAATTGATTAGAAAAGAATATTTTGTATAATATATACTTGGCAGAAGACTTATGCTTAGTTTGGGACAACTTTTTTGCTATTTTATAAAACTATTTTTTAGTACATAAATATCTAATTCAAAAAATTTTTGTATTAAAAAGTCGTTTTAGAAAGCAACAAAGAAGTTATCCCAAACAAAGCCTTAATTTTGATCGTGAAATTTGGGCCGGTTGCAACTTTTGTTAAAATAAATTTTTGAAAGCTACTGCAACTTTGTTTTTTTTTAAGCATAGAGAAAATCATAGTCAAACAAACCCTAGTATTTATCTAAATTGATTTAGTTTCTAATAATAAGTATGTATGTTGAAGTAAAAAAAAAAAATTAGAGTACAATTTTGAAGTTTTTGAAATTTATCTAGTTAAATTTTGTTGTATTTGAAAGTTATTAGATTTTACTGATTTCTAAATACCCTATAAATTCACAATAAGTCATTTTGATTCTCACAACCCACCAACCCACCAGCTGTTGTAGCCCCTGTAGCTGTCCACCACCTGTCACCATCACCTGTCATCACTCACCGATGACGGCCACAACTAACTACATAACATTTTAAGCATATTTTACACTACATTCTATTTACCCTACAACCCTTTATTTGCAAACCAAATAGATCTTTAATATTTATTAAGATAAATATGAAATTTTAAAAAAGATTTATTTTATTGAGATGTGCTACGTCATACAATATTCATGGTGATAGAGAAATATAAAATTTAATGTCTTAGCTTCGTATGAAGATCCATCACACAATCAGATAAAAGAGGATGTAGCATTCAAAACAGACACTAGAGTTTTTACGTGAAAACTCCTAAAATAGAGGAAAAATAATGGGGTCTGACCTAATTTGAATGAATCACTAGTGTTTGCAGTCAATTACAAATGAGACCCTTCCTTATAGGGAAGGCCTTGACTTGATGTAGAAAATATACATCATATAGAATGCATTAGATGGTGGAAATTGAAAAAATCAATATTAATGTGATGTCCCAAGCGTCTAAAGTGAAAGGATTCGTCGACAGTCTTGATCAACCATCACTTCCCGCTCCCTTGCTCTGACATGAAATTGTTAACCACATATAATGAGCTTTAAAAAGCCTAGCAGGTCACCAAAAACCTACAACTGAAATCAAAGCACGGTACTGAAACAATATGCATGTCAGTCAATCAAATCCGTAACAGTTAGTTGCACATGATCAGTAAATCTATGAAGCAGATACGGACATCAGTAATTAATGCATGATCGATACAATCAACAATCATCGGTAAAAGAATCGATAAACAGTAGGAAGAAATCCATAACACTAAATCTCGAAAGAATCCGGTCAAATCAATAGAGAAAAATCGTCGTATCGATAATATCAGTTAAATCAACATCGTATCAATGGAATCAATCAAATCAATCATCTATGATCAATAATATCAATTGATATGAAATCATATAAAACAATCAAACCAATACATCACAAGAACGGTTGAAATCAAATCAATACAATAAAACTTATTCCATATTGATCAATGAATCACATGCAGCAGTTCAATACGGTGTATCAATGAAGCGATAGTATCAATGAATCAATATTAATGAATCTATAGTATCCATGTCCATAATATCAATGAATCAATACAATATCAATATCCATATCAATATCAGTATCTATGTACAGTGACACGTACAATATGCAGTATCAATGAACCGACAATAACAGTAAACCCGTAAATCCATCAGTAAATCCATTCGTCAAGAAATCAATCCAATACATTAAATCCGTCGATATCAATAAATCTATAAATCCGTAATGAGATCATAAAGACAATTATGTACACATGCAATTCAATACAATAGTCTTACTAAATAAGTACAATCACTGGCTATTAAGGCGTTTTTCGGTATCGATGTATCGTTGTGTCGTTATATCCGTTGGCTCAATAAGAGTCGTCACTCCGTGCCCGTCGGCATAAACTCCTTATGACTCCCAATCGTTGTATCTATGATCAATAGATGATAACACCAAACCCTTTTTAAAGGAAAGCCCGTCAACCCACCATCATGTACAGGTCAAATAAATCTCCAACCAACGATTCAATCAATCTTCACTTGTCTTTCAGTAACAATAACAATAATTTAATCATATAATCTCATTTATATACATATCATAATCTCATTGCTTCAGTCAATAGAATTCCAAATAGAGTTAAAATACACAGTTTCAGAAAATTACCAAATTACCAGAAATCGAATAAAACACGTTACAAAGTTTTACTTGTACTGAAGCAATAATTTCAGACAGCCAAATTATTTTCTATTCGATTCAAACCGTACAGAACTCAAAATATTTGGTGAAAACTTTCCAGAAAATACTCAAAATATGCAGAATCATTATCTCAAAAACATACCAAAAGTTACGCGGTAAAAGTTTCGTCCACACAGTCATGCGCGTTTTTCGGTAACGAAAACACAAAACTAAGCAGAAAAATACAAAAACTCAAAATCTTCGAAATCAGATTTAGGATTCGGATTCCTTACTTCGAGACAAACAAATCTTCCAACTGCGGCGTCGGACGAAAAGCGCTCCGCGGCCTCCGAAAACAAGCTTTTTCTTCCTTTTCCCTCTCGTTCTCTCTCCTGCCTTCTCTTTCTCTCTCTTCAAATGATTCAAAATATCTCAATCCGATATATATCCATTCAGATCGTCCCGGACGATCCGAATTCGTCTTGTGACGATTTGCCCTCTAGACGAATTTCGTAAGTACGTGTACAGTTTTCGTCCCTGGACGACTTGCTCTCTGGACGAATTTTGTCCCGACGGATCGTCCCGACTCTTACAGGTTCGTACAGACGAATCAGGCAGATTCTTCACAATTTTCTTCAGTTCGTCCCGTACTAAAGTCAGTTCGTCTGGACTAACAGTACTAAAAAAAATCAGCTTCGGAGGGGTTTTACAATTAACATGTTTGTTTGGTCTACAGGAGCATAGTCGGCGGGTGACGGCGGTCAAAAAAATCATAGTTGGGTGACGGTGGTTAGAAGGATTGTAGTCTAGCGACTGAACTCGGAAGGACCGAATTTGACAGGTGACAGTGGTCAGAAAGACCGTTGTTTAGTGACGGTAGTCGGAATGATCGTAGTTGGCCAACGAAGAAGGTTGAAAGGACTATAAACAACGGGTGAAGGAGCTCAGAAAGACTATTGTTTGACGACGAAGGTTTAAAAGAGTGTAGTTGGCGGGCGACAGTGGTTAGTAAGATCGTTCTCAACAATGGAGATCAGAAAGGTCGTAGTCGACGGTTGATGAAGGTCAAAAAGATCGTTGTATGGCGATGAAGATCGGAAGGATCGTAGTCAGCGGGCAACAGCGGTCAGAAAGATTGTTGTCGACGATGT